AACTCATATATTCTATAGATTCATTATACACAGTAATATATTTATAACCATTTATTTATTTTCATTTTGATGATTATGGCTTACAGCTGGTGAAAACCCACAATTCAGTAACTCAGAAAATTAGAATATTACTTAAGACCAAAAAAAAAAAGGATTTCTAATACAGAAATGTTGGCCTACTGAAAAGTATGTCCATGTACAGTATAGTATGCACTCAATACTTGGTCAGGGCTCCTTTTGCATGAATTACTGCATCAATGTAGCATGGCATGGCGGCGATCAGCCTGTGGCACTGCTGAAGTGTCATGGAAGCACAGGTTGCTTTGATTGTGCCTTCAGCTCATCTGCATTGTTCAGTCAGGTATCTCTCATCTTCCTCTTGACAATACCCCACAGATTCTCTTTGGGGTTTAGGTCAGGTGAGTTTTCTGGCCAATCAAGCACAGTGATACCATTATTCACACTGGATCTCATGCAATTTGGATTGGATTTGGATTTGTGCTTCTCCACTTTCCCTCCAGACTCTGGGACCTTGATTATACTTTCATCCAAAAAGAGGACTTTGGACCATCGAGCAACAGTCCAGTCTTTTTTCTCCATAGCCCAGGCATAGTGCTTCTGATATTGTCTCTGGTTCAGGAGTGGCTTAACACAAGGAATGTGACAGTTGTAGCCCATATCCTGGATATGTCTGTGTGTGGTGGCTCTAGAAGCATTGACAACAGTCATAGTCCACTCCTTGTGAATCTCCCCCAAATTATTGAATGGCCTTTGCTTCACAATCCTCTCAAGGCTGCAGTTATCTCTGTTGCTTGTGCTCTTTTTTCTACCACACTTTTTCCTTCCAGTCAACCTTCCATTAATATGCTTGGATACAGCACTATGTGAACAGCCAGCTTCTTTAGCAAAGCTCTTTTGTGACTTACCCTCCTTGTGGAGGGTGTCAATGACTGTCACAACAGTCAACAGTCAACTGTCAAGTCAGCAGTCTTTCCCATGATTGCGTAACCTACTGAATCAGACTGAGAGACAATATATAGGTTCAGGAAACCTTTACAGGTGTAGATTAGAGTGTGACACCTTGGGGTTTATTTACTAAAGCTGGAGAGTCCAAAATCAGACTCCCTTCTGCATAGAAACCAATCAGCTTCTAACCTCAGCTTGTTCAATGAAGCTTTGGCAATGAAACCTGGAAGCTGATTGGTTTCTATGCAGAAGGGAGACTGATTTTGGACTCTCCAGCTTTAGTAAATAAACCCCCTTGAGTCTACAGTATTGAACTTTTTTTCACAATATTCTAACTTTCTGAGATACTGAATTTCGGGTTTTCACTAGCTGTAAGCCATAATCATCAAAATTAAAAGCAAGAAATGCTTGCAATACTGTATATCACTCTGTGCGCAATGAATCTATATAATATATGAATATACTTTTTGAATTGAATTACTGAAATAAATTAACTTTTTGATGATATTACAATTTATTGAGATGCACCTGTAGATTTACAGTGCAGAGATCTGTTATATTTGGTAAGCAGCTTTGCATGTCTGGTATCACTCAAGCACTGGAGCACTTTATTGGAATTTTTTTTTTAGTACTGTGAACACTTTTCAGCACTGAATTTTATTGATTATCAGTTGGGACTTTTTTGCACTTTATTTTGTGGGACTATGTTACATATAGGTTTTCTCATTTTTTGACTAAATTCATTTGCATTTTATTTTTTGTGATTGAGTTAAAGTGCTGAGCAAAATGTTGGCACTATATAAATCCTGTATAATAAATAATAAAGTTACACACTTTCTGCTCTTTTTTATTGGGCATTTTGTTACATATATTTTTTGCACTGTTTGAGACTTTATGTATATTTAGAAATCTTTTGCACTTTATATATTTGCACTTATTTGATTCATATTTGTATCATCCTGATGCCATTTCTTTATTTATATCTATTTATATAGTTGATTTAGTGGATAAGCACACGTCTTTCCTAATTACATTGTCTAAGCAGGGTATTCATGCTTTTACAGGTGCTGCTGCCAATTTAGATCTCAGCGTGAGTTTTATATTTTATTTTTAAATAATAGAGATCTCGGTCACCATGAGAGTAATAACAACACTTTTATCATAATTATAACATAAACAATAATGACAGTAATTCTGTTCACTTTCTTTCCAGGAACCCCATAGAGAAATCCTCACAATACCATTATAATAGTCATCTTGGTCCCCTATCTACCATCTCAGGCTCTGTGCTGGGAGTGATAGGTGAGGTTTACAGAGGACATATAATGGGCTTAGAGCCCCTCCTTATAGGAATCCCTCCCCCCCCCTTATTACCCACTTCACAGGAGCACTGACCTTCATCACAACCAGCTCACAGCTAAAGAGCCCCAGAGCCACATTTTCAATTCAAACATTACAGTGTGTGTTGAAGGCAACCACTTCCTATTCTCCATACTGGTTTCCTGCCCCCTGGTCGCTCTTTCTGCTAGGTCCACCTTTTGGGGTAAAGTCACTGTTCTCACTGTGTCAGAGCATAGTTAACCCCTTGCACATTCATCCAGGCTTTTCACTGCCTCTGTCTCTGCCAGTCCAGCCACTACCTTCTTCACATGCACATTGCATCCTCTCCTAACCCTGCTCTGCCACCTACAACAGCAAAACCCCTGGAGACTTCTCACATAATCCCAGTTGAAACACCCTGCTGTACACTATACCATCAATAATAATGCGCAGGGCTGGGAGCCTGGCAGCAACCTTTCCTGTCTCTTAAGATTTGCTATTGGCCCTAATATTGCCTATCCTAGTAATGGAACAATAGTGGTCCTTCACTGGCTACCAATGTAAGGCAGCACTTCTCCACTGACACCCATTGTAAATGGGCTCTACAATTTTCACTGTCAACATTTATTTTTTTGTTACAATATTATTGTTCATTTCATTTAATGAGTATCACTGAAAATATTTGTGTTACGAATATAGAATATTAACATGTTAAAAAAGGATGCCTTCTCTGTGTCCAATATGCTAAGTAGGACACACACACAAAAAACTAGGACTCTAGGGTCTAATAAAGGAAGAGTCACTGAAGTTCTTTTAACAATTGGCTTTCAGCACAGATGAAAAAGTAAATATGCTAATGATGTGCGAGAGACCAAATCTCCGCCTGCTGGCTGAATAGAAGACTAGCAAATATTAATATGCAATATGTTATACCTGAAAAAAATAGTTTCAAAAAGTGTTTTCTTATAATAACCAAAGAAAAAATCAAGTATATATTCCCTTTTTACCCCTACTTAGTTTATAAGAGTTCTTATAAGAGAGCAACCCACTGAAAAGCACTGATCTGCACAGAACAGACTCAGGTCACTGCTCAAGAATGATTCTGGAGTACAAGCGCAATGTGCAATGCAATCTATTACAGCTCCTTTGCCTAAGCATGTGGATGTTCCTAATAAACAGAAATTAAATCACTGAACAAAAGAAAAAATGATACCAACTATGTACATATTAAAATTGACTTTATATTATTTTTTCCTTACATAGTATTATGGTTATTACTGAACAGAGAATGTTATTTGTACCCTGTAGTGTTTTAAGCACGAAACTGCTTTCCGTTTTGTTTTGCTTTTTTCCACAACATGTATATTTTGAATTAAAAGAACACAGAAAAGCCCTGCTAAAATGCACATTGAGATGGTTATTTCAACCATCTTAACAGGAAATAAGTGATTGCTATGGTGTGAATATTGCTTTCAGCAATCGTACTTAATCAGCATGTTAAATGCATAAAACCTTTGAAAATAAAATGTGCTTCAGTAAATGAGTACTAAAATCTGTATGTAAAAGTTTAGTTTAAACAAGACAAAAAATAATATGCTGTGATTTTAAAGAACACCAGAAGGTGTTCTTAAAGAGGAAAGAAAATAGAAACTATTTAACAAAGAAGAGCTGTGTTATCAGCACAGACGCTTTTGGTGATGGCACAAGATGAGTGCAGAGCATATCCATTAGGTTGGTGTTGGGCTCAAGTCAGGATTTAGGTTAAAGTTACCTTTGTTACTCAAATCGTAACCCAGCCATACATGGATTGAATTTCATTCAGTTCAGCAGGGACTGGACAAATTTCAGTCCATGTTAGGGCTAGCTGGTTGTACATAAGTTGATTGATAGATTGACCTGTGTACAACCAGCCTGTTAGGTTTTTCCAGAGGGATCAGTGCCGCCATGTATAGTTAGGGCCGGTGCTTCCACTAGGCAAACTAGGCAGCTGCCTAGGGAGCACTGCCACCTAGGGGTGCCTGGGCGCAGAGCAGGCAAGTTCCATGTGGGATGCTGCCATGTCAGGAATGAACCTTCAGCTGGGGGGAGGGGTGGCAGAGGGGAGGAAGAAAGAACAGAGGAAGATGCTGGGTGTCTGGGTCCAGTGTAGCAGTTGAGCTTAAGCTTCTTCCAATGTTCCTCTCAGACTCAGTCCTTTACTGCAAACCGACTGGCGGCTGCTGATCACTGTGGAATTCCAGCCCTTCTCTTCCCTTTCATCAGCGGAGGCGGAGCTGTGCCGGCAGAGGAAGGTAATGTCTGACTCAGATGTCTTGTGTCTGTGTAAGTGTGACCTGGCCGGCCAGCAATCCATCACATGTGCAATGTGCCAGTGAGTGATGACATCATCATGATCCCACAGCCCTCCTACTGTTTTTAAACATTTATATGGGGGGGGGCTCAAGTAGCTCTTCTTGCCTAGGGCGCAAAATAGTCTAGCACCGGCCTTGGGTATAGTCAGCTATTGTTAGGAATGGACTTGCCAGTAATGGTGGGACTCACCTGTCTTGTGGGCTGCAGTACCAGGGCTGGCCAGCGGGTGCTCCCAGCAATCAGAGACTCAACCCTGCAGCCAGCCAAACACCTGAAACTGCTTATGCAGGTGTATTTAAGTGATGGCCAGACCTGCAGTCTTTGCCTTGGTGTGTGTTTTTCCTGGGCCCTGTATCTTGTTCCTGCATCCCTGTTCCTGTTCCTGTCTCTGTCTGATTCGTTGCTGACCCTGCTTGATCCGGACCTCTGCTGACTGCTGAGTTGACTCGGAGCCCACTGTTGTGCCTGGTGACTCGGTACCTGTCGCTCCGCCTAGGGGTCCGGCGCCCGCCGCTCCGCCTGGGGGCCCGAGACCTGTCGCTCCGCCTGGGGGGGTCCGGCGCCCGCCGCTCCGCCTGGGGGCCCGAGACCTGTCGCTCCGCCTGGGGGTCCGGCGCCCGCCGCTCCGCCTGGGGGCCCGAGACCTGTCGCTCCGCCTGGGGGTCCGGCGCCCGCCGCTCCGCCTGGGGGCCCGAGACCTGTCGCTCCGCCTGGGGGCCCGAGACCTGTCGCTCCACCTGGGGGCCCGAGACCTGTCGCTCCGCCTGGGGGTCCGGCGCCCGCTGCTCCGCCTGGGGGCCCGAGACCTGTCGCTCCGCCTGGGGGTCCGGCGCCCGCCACTCCACCTGGGGGCCCGATGCCTGTCGCTCCGCCTGGGGGTCCGGCGCCCGCCGCTCCGCCTGGGGGCCCGATGCCTGTCGCTCCGCCTGGGGGTCCGGCGCCCGCCGCTCCGCCTGGGGGCCGATGCCTGTCGCTCCGCCTGGGGGCCCGATGCCTGTCGCTCCGCCTGGGGGTCCGGCGTCTGCCGCTCCGCCTGGGGGCCCGATGCCTGCTGCTCCGCCTGGTGGCCCAGTGCCTGCTGCTTCGCCTGGTGATCCGATGCCTGTCGCTCCGCCTGGGGGCCCGATGCCTGTCGCTCCTCCTGGGGGCCCGATGCCTGCTGCTCCGCCTGGTGGCCCGGTGCCTGCTGCTTTGCCTGGTGATCCGATGTGCCTCTGCCCGGAGTCCAGCCCGATGTGCCTCTGCCCGGAGTCCAGCCCGATGTGCCTCTGCCCGGAGTCCAGCCCGATGTGCCTCTGCCCGAAGTCCAGCCCGATGTGCCTCTGCTCTGGAGTCCAGCCCGATGTGCCTCTGCCCGGAGTCCAGCCCGATGTGCCTCTGCCCGGAGTCCAGCCCGATGTGCCTCTGCCCGGAGTCCAGCCCGATGTGCCTCTGCCCGGAGTCCTGCCCGGAGTCCAGCCCGATGTGCCTCTGCCTGGAGTCCAGCCCGATGTGCCTCTGCCCGGAGTCCAGCCCGATGTGCCTCTGCCCGGAGTCCTGCCCGATGTGCCTCTGCCCGGAGTCCTGCCTGGAGTCCTGCCCGATGTGCCGCTGCCCGGAGTCCTGCCCGATGTGCCGCTGCCCGGAGTCCTGCCCGATGTGCCGCTGCCCGGAGTCCTGCCCGATGTGCCGCTGCCCGGCTGCCCAGAAGTCCTGCCCGATGTGCCGCTGCCCGGAGTCCTGCCCGATGTGCCGCTGCCCGGAGTCCTGCCCGATGTGCCGCTGCCCGGAGTCCTGCTCAATGTGCCGCTGCCCGGAGTCCTGCCCGGTGTGCCGCTGCCCGGAGTCCTGCCCGATGTGCCAGTCTTTGATATCCCGCCAGTTACCAGACCCAGGCGGTGGAACATTTTGCCCAGCTAGGACTGTTTGGAGCGTCCTGAGGCCGCTCCTTGAGGGGGGGTACTGTTAGGAATGGACTTGCCAGTAATGGTGGGACTCACCTGCCTTGTGGGCTGCAGTACCAGGGCTGGCCAGCGGGTGCTCCCAGCAATCAGAGACTCAACCCTGCAGCCAGCCAAACACCTGAAACTGCTTATGCAGGTGTATTTAAGTGATGGCCAGACCTGCAGTCTTTGCCTTGGTGTGTGTTTTTCCTGGGCCCTGTATCTTGTTCCTGCATCCCTGTTCCTGTTCCTGTCTCTGTCTGATTCGTTGCTGACCCTGCCTGATCCGGACCTCTGCTGACTTCTCCTGTTTTATCCCTGGCTTGTGACCCCGACCATTCTCTGCCTGACCCCCTGTACCTACCTGCCCGATTGTTATTGACCCGGCCTGCCTGACGACGCTTGCATTGTATGTATTATCTGTGCGTGGTTTGGTTTGTTTGCACTGTGTTATGTTTTAGTATTGCACTGCGTTTATGTTTGTATTGTTAGTCTTTAATAAATTATATTGTTTATAACTTATCTGAAGCCTGCGTTTCCCTGCGTCAGTCACATACCTCTGGTCATACCCCGGAGCCCTGACAGCTATGCTGACCAATGTATTCTGCTGGCAGGGAAGGCTCCACAACAGCAGAATACAATAGTTTGGCAGGAGTGATTCCACCATCTACATTGAGTGTGTGGATGGGGGGATTGGTTCCTTTTTTATTGTTCAATTAATCATATATGGCCTGCCTTAAAGTCTTTCCCCAATTTAACAGGGAATGGTTTGACTGACCACCCCCAAAGAAAGGAAGTATTCTTTGAATCAACCACCAATATAAAGGGGCTCTTCTTCCACTGAGCACCAATGTAAAGGGGTCCTTTTCCTACTCAGCATCAATATAAGGGTGCCTTTTCCACTGACCACCAATGCAATGGGGTGTTTTTTTCACTGAACACGAATTCAGAGGAGCATTACCCTGACCACTAATGTAAAGGGACATTCCTACACGGACCAATGCAAACCGACAACCAATGTAATGGGGCACTAATAGTTTAAGAAACTTGTGAATTTTTTTATGTGCAGTTGATAGCCCCTGCGTGGGCATGAATTGTTGCTCCTGTCTTAAACTGTTTAAAAATTTATAAAAAAACATTAAAATACAAGAAACTTGTACCATAATGAAACGTGAGGTGCTTGAGGGATAATATGTTTCACCTTGGGAAACTAAGGAGGAAATCGATTCACGTTTTCAGGGCCACCTTGACAGTGTGAAATCCAAACCAGGTTATGTTTCCCATTTTTGACCAGCAGCAGGTGCTTGCACCCCCCACACACCCCAAAGGCCCTGGTATGGATAGGGAGGGACTCCCATACCTTTCTTTAATGCCGACTCTTTTGTTTACATTCTGAGTGGTTGTGTCTGCGGTTTTTGTTTTTTTTTTGTGCGGGTCGGCAGGTGATGTTCATCATGATTGAAGTGGAGCTGCATTACTGGACGATGTGCTTGACAATGGAAAGGCATCTGGGGGCTTTTTTTTTAATAAAGGACATTACTAAAATTACTAATTCACATGGGAGATAGGATCTTCGCCAGGGTTGTGGGGAACAGGCCCTTGTCCTCATCAACATGGGGGCATGTTTCTTTGCCAGAGAGGGTCTACACCCCCCCTCAAAGTACCCCTCTATGTTGAGGGCATGTGCAGTAGTGTATTTAGATTTTTTGCTGCCCTAGGCAACACAAAAATTAAAATGTAACTAAATTCACAATTAAATCTATTGTTTATAGGCAAATCTTTATCATAGAAGATAGTTTGTATGTCTTTTTTGCAAAAAAAAAAAAAAATGATTTTACTTGCCTGTCAGCAATGTTTATTCTAAGGCTGCATTCATACCTGAGCGATTTTCTGCTTGAAGCTTGTAGCTCTAAAACAGTCAACAAGGCAAATGCCATTCATTTCAATGGCCCCTGTTCACATATGAGCGTTCTGTCGCCTGAAGCAAAACGCCTGTCGCTCAAAAAAAGTACATGAGCTTCTTTATGGCAGAATACAAGCATTTTTTGCCCCATAGACTTCAACAGAAATGCCTTAAAATGTGTGACCTGAGCATTTTATGAGCATTTTGTTGCACGTTTCCTGCTCAAAATGCAGTTCTCCACTCTTAATTTCCTCTCCTGCTCTTTCCCCTAATGCTTTCTATTGGCTAAACAAAAGTGCCTGAAGCTGTAAAACGCTTGTAATACACGTCTAAAAAAGGTCAAAAAGTCTCAAATAAAAACACCAGTAAATCTTTATGCTCAGGTGTGAATGTAGCCTAAATGTACAGTGCACGGCGCATGTTAAAGAAGAGTTTAATTTCTGCTTTAAGGGCTCTTAAAGTTAACTTGAACTCAAAAAATTAAGTTGTTTTATGTAGTATCTAAGAATAATAAATATGCCCAAGCATTACCCTAAAATTATTTTTTTGAGAAATTAATTTTCATTTTTCAGATAAGAAATGGTGCTTCCATCTCCTTAGTGCCCTTAATGGAAAAAGGCTGTTTATGGAGCTTAGTAGCTTAAACTAACATACACACACACACCTCAGCAACAATTCTTCCCTTAGTGGACAACTCCAGCAAAGCGAACATAATGGCAGCTGTCACCTTCTAGCTATTTGGCTAAGCCTTTCACCCTCCAACCCTTTCCACGCTCCCTCAACCCCTCCTGTCATATCACCCTCCCTACTCCATCTCACTTCCTCATCTTCCCTGGCCCTACCCCACCTCCCCAGATCCCCCAGCCTGTGCCTCTACTCCCCCCTTGTGCCCCTCCTATCCTCTTGCAAACCACTTTTATTGCCCCCCCCCCACACCTAATTTTGTTTTACCCCTTACCCTTTCACCTGACTGTTCCAAGAAGACACTGGGCACCTTCCCAGCTGAATAGTCTAGGGCAGTGGTCTCCAAACTGTGGCCCTGGGGCAGAATGCGGCCCTTTGCTTGCTTTTATCTGGCCCTTGAACCATTATTCAGCAATTGGTAGGTGAGGGACAGAGACCCCTCTTATTAGGGAGAATGAATAGCACAAGGGGAGGTTCCTGGCAAGTAAAGGCAGCTCAGGGACAATGCCTGGTCATAAGAATTACTCCAGTAGCCAGACTTTTAAAGTGGCCTCTCCTCAGCAACATCAGATTGCTGTCGCAGCACACCAAAAACTGCCACTTCTCCAGCAGACGTTGTCACTAGGGAAAACAGACTCAAGCCTGGTGACACTGTACAAATATCAACTGCTATATTGCCTTATACCAATTGCTATATTGTAAAATACCAGTGCCTATAGAATTTGTCTTTATTCATTACCTCTTACCTATATACAAGATAAACTATAACAACAAGGACTGTGTGTGGTCTCTCATGGATTGAGTACCTAGGCCCTGCCTACAACCTTGCTGTAGGCTGGATCTCCAAACATTTCCCATGATAATCCCTGGTGGCTTCCTGCCAAAACTAATCAAATGGGTCAAATGGGTGACAAGCTATAAAGGAATGGCACAATAGGTATAGCAGAACTGGCCATTAATTTACTCTAAGTAACATGGTAAGAACAGAATCAAAGCTAAAATTTCAAGTAATACATGTAGTTTGAAGTCAGCCAGCCACCTCTAACTTCAGTTGTCAAGTTTGTTGCAAAGTAAAAACTGTAAAAAGATTGCACGACACAAGAGTTTAATGCCTTTCTGTGTTACTGTGATTGTTTCTAAATTAGTTTACTACTTTTTCTTGTAGAACCAGTTTTAAATGACAGCCTCACTGAACTGAACTCTATGTCTTTTCATGGGCATTTAGGAAAAACTCTGAAAATTGACCTTTTAACGCATTGACCAGTACTATGTATCTAATTGACTTCAGTCAGCCTCAAATTGAAATTGAATACCAATGATTAAGGTTCAGAAAAGAGGAAGATAATGTAATCATTCCTAAACTTTTTTCTCCAGTAAGCTTTGCCAAAATAACATTTGGGCCTCAGCTTGTAAAAATCAACTCTATTTATTTATTACAGCTGTTTTGCCTCCAGCAGGGAA